GAGTTCAGTGACATTTGGGGCTTTCAGTTGTTGACATGTGGAACCAGATAATTGCTTGTGGTGGGGACTGGAAAACAAATGGAGAGAAGCTCAGATGCAAGTTCTTGTTTCCTTGGCTGAATTGCCTGTGTCTTCTTAGGAGAGGAGCTCAAGCCATCTGAGACTCGGTTTCCACACTTGTATAGTGGGACTGGCGCTAGCCATGCAGCAGGGGTTTTGGGAAACCACCTAGGTATTATATATGTAAATTTATGATGTCAATTTATGGCAGCTGTGGTTCTCATTTGGGTCCCACATCAAGCACCTCCTCCTTGAATAAGCCTGAACAGGGTGTTCTCATTTCCCCAGAGTCTGGAAAGATGGAGGGTTGGAATTCTACTCCAGCTAAACATCATATTATTAATGCCAGGCAACTCTTTCCTAATAAAACCCAAAACCATGTAAACACTGGTATAGCTTTCAATTTGTAGTCAGATTAGACGCCAGGAGCGTTTGGTTCCATTTTATTTTATTATTTTTTAAGTGAAATCTTTACAGTGAATTTGAAAGCAAGCTATTTTTCTGCCTCTCTGGAGAAGTGTAAGTTTTTGAAAAATGACTTTCCTTGGAATGTTTCAACTTCAATCAGGGCAGATGGGAGAAGAAAATAAAATAAAAAATAAATAAATAAATAAAAGCTGGTCAACTCACATGATAGAATTTCTAGACCCGGATTCAGCATCTCATTCAGGAAGTGCCCTGTGGAGTGAAATATGCACAGAAAGGAGCCCCCGAGTCATCCTAAAAGCTATTTTATGTCCTTGGAAAAGCAGGTGTTTATACTTATATTCCCCGAGTGTTCTGTGTTAAGTATTGCGTACGGTAAGTGCTGTCCCCCAAAATCACCCCAGGAAAGAAGTCCTCCTATTGGGGAGGGAGACATGATTCTTCACTGCCACCTTCACCTCTGTGAAGTACAGAATCTACATCATTCCTGCTTCTTCTGTTACCAACAGTAAAGAACTCCTACTCCATGCCCATAGAGAATCTCCCATGGATCCTCAGGGACCCAGGGATGGATGGTCAATTTCCTACCCCTCCCAGCCTGGCGGGGAGGACAGACCTGGAGGAAAGCTGAGCCTGTGCTTCCTCTTTCCTGTGACAAGGATTACGTCTCAGAGGGCTGCTTGGAGTAGCAAAATAGTCCTCATTCCTGAACCTTTAGGGACAACTGAGTTCTGAGCTTCATCCAGAGACCAAGGTACAGAGAGATCCCTGTCACACCCTGAGGCCTGACACCAAACAGTGTGTGTCCAATAGCTTGTTAGCAAGTGGTGGAGGATCTGGAAAAAAGACAGCTGACGCATGGGCTTGGTGATTCACTGCCATTGTCACTGCCTAGGGCTGGCAAGCTACCTTTGCCCAGAGCTGGTCTCCTGAGAAGCCATGAAATGCCGTGCAGGGCCTCTCCAGGAGCTCACGGCCTGTCCATGTTCAGGCACACCCGCATCCCCTCCACAGGCACCTTGGAGTGAGGTTCTGGATTTGGACAAACTCAGACCACTTTGTCTAGTCACTTTGTCTGGTCATTGCCACCGGCCCTCGCCTAGGACTGCCATTCCTCTAACTCCAATGGCAGGTGCCTCTGCTGTGGGACAGACAAGGCGGGACACCGAGGAATTAGCTGGGATCAGGTTTTTTGGCTGCAGCCAAGTTCAGAAGGGGGGGCTTTCTCCACAGTCCATCCATCCCTCTGAACCCCGAGTTCAGAAAGTTTCAGGACTTTGTATCTGGTGTGTAGGGGGAGGGGCTCAGAGGCTCACAGTCTGTACAAGTCCACACAAAAGGAGCTTTTTTTCCCCTGTTCTAGCCAGGGGACAAAAATGCAAACGCCTCTGTATCACATCCTGCTTCTTCAACACACCTCCCCCCAAAAACTCTGCTGCAGGAATTCTTGCTGAGAGTCTAAGAACAGTGGAGGTGAGGGTCTCTGGAGGAGCTTAATTAAGATTTCCTGTGGAGGAGAGGGTGTCCCTACGACTCCATCTTTTTCTTCGCCTCCTCATGGGGCAGCGGGCAGGTTCACCAGGTTCCTGGGAATCTCCCCTTAGCTTAGCAGCCCCTCAGGCATCTCATCCACCGCCTCCATTGCAGAGCCTCCCCTGATCCCAGCGGACGGTGCTTCCTTCCATTTCCTGTTACACCGAGCATCTTCCTTACAACATGTGACAGGCGGTCCTAGGGCTCAGCTCTCTTTGCACAATGCCATGTGTGTGTGGGCCCCTGAAGGCAGAGAGGGAGGGCGGTGAATCCTTCCTGATTAGCGCTCTGAAGAGAACAGCGGCAGGAGTCTTACACTTGCAAAAAGTACAGGTCATTATGTGAACCTAGCAATTGTGTAAAATTGGGGTTATCTCGCATGAACAGCATCCTCCAGTTGCTCTTCTGTGACAAGGAGCCTCGCAAAACCGCGATCTGCTTCTTTTCCTTCTCTCCCACCTTTTCAAAGACCACTGGGGCACACAAGCCCAGGGTCAACAATGTGCTGAGGGGTGTGTCCCCAGGGCAAGGCCGGGCCTCTCTGATTCTGCATTCACTCCTGCCTTCCCACCTCTGTGCAGGACTAACACAGAACCGACATCGGTGTGGTTTGGGAAGGTCATCTCCCAACCATTGGTGGGAGAGAAAGCAGCAAAGAAGGGATCCTCCAGTGAAAACACAGAGCCTCAAGCCAAGAGGAACCTTCTCCCTGGCTCCCCAGCAGGAAAGGCAACGTTGATTCGTTGCTTAGGATTCCCAGGGAACAGTCTGGGGGATTGACGGTGAGTGGCAGTACCTAGTCACGGATACCCACCATCTTGCCATGGGGCAAGGGAAAAGCAGAGGTCATTTAAAGCTGGTCCTGAAAGAACATCCAGATGGACATTGTCTGGAGAGACTCAGTGGTTCCACTTGAACTTAAGTCCAACCAGGGTCACCAACTGACTTTTGCAAAATAGAATTTTGTAGGGACATTACTCTGCCGCCTTTGCTTCCCCTTAGCGCCATGCCCCTGAGCACAGTTGCTGGAAAGACATCTCTTTTTATATCAATTAATTGAGCGTGTGGATGGAGAATAGACTGATTAGAACTAGGAAGCCATAGAAAGATTTTTTTTACGAGGAAGGTTGAGTTCACACCGTGGAATGAAAATGGAAAATGGTTTGCTTAGAACAAACACCTGTACAGCAATTGGTATATGCCAAGAGCTTTCGCAGGTGCTTTACAAATATTGACTCATTTCTTCCTCTCAAAAGACAAAATTACAACACATTTTAAGATCTTAATTGGCTTTATTTGTGATTCTACAATCAAGTAATATTCCAATCCACAAAACAGAATAAATATTCTGGTGAGCTAAGTACAAGAGGTTGGTTTTATAGAGAAAGTCTGAAAAAAAAAAAAGAAAGAAAGAACAAACCACAGATCAGCTATTTTAAAGATACTTTCCTTGTAAGGTGGAGTCAGGGAGAGGACAATAGAAAAATCACTGATTGGTGAACATCAGTTTACTTTTTTGTAAAGATGAAGGCAGAAAATGGTAGTTGGGAAACTTGGCCCTATCGCTCCTGACTTCTCTGAAGGTCAGAACACAACTTAGTTTCATCCTGGTGACATGGAACTTTTAATATGAGTGACTCCACTTTGATTTGGAGTCTGGTCTCTTGGGGTCCAATGCAGGGGTTTGGTACAAAACAATGGGCTCCTGTAATTTTTATTTCATTATCTTCAAAACATCCCTCTGAGATCTGTCCCATAATTATCATCATCTTAGAGATGAGGAAACAGGCAGGGAGCATCTGAGCTACCCCCTCAGCTCAGACATAGCAGAATCAGGATTTGGACTCAGGAAAGCTGCCCCAGAAATCATGCATCCAATCACTATACTATAGTAGACACATGCATAGTTTTTAAAAATGGGGTTCAATTACTGTTTTCTGAATTCCTCCTTAGTAAGGCCTTGGTAAAAAGCCTTAATCAGGTAAGGCTAGGTGTTTAGAAGTTATACAGGTGTGCAGGTTTTCATCTTGGTTGTGTGGAGTTGGTTGACCCTTTTCTGTGGGCTCATAGTTGCTATTACTTGCAGACTATACCAACTTTATGTTAGGATCTTCATTACTAACTTAATACCTCTGCTCACAATTTACTCTAAAAACTAGATCAGGAATGAATAGTATTTGTCTTGGTCCATTTGAGTTTTTTGGTTTGGGGTACTGGGGATTGAACCTGGGGTACTTAACCCCTGAGCTACATCCGTAACCCTTTTTATTTTTTTATTTCAAGACAGGGTCTCTCTAAGTTGCTTAGGGCTTCACCAAGTTGCTGAGACTGATTTTGAGCCTGCAATCCCCCAGCCTTAGCCTCCTGGGTTGCTGGGATTACGGGTGTGCACCACAGCACCTGGCAGTGCCTTTGGGTTTCTATAGCCAAAAAACCATATATAAGGTGGATTATGAGCAACAGAAACTTATTTCTGACAGATCTGAAGACTGGGAAGTCCAAGATTAAGACACCAGCAGATTTGGTGACTGTTGAGAGGTCCCTTTCCCATTCATAGATGGCGCCTCCTTGCCGCGCCCTCACATGGCTGAAGAGGCAGGGAATCTCTGGGGTCTCATAAGGGCACACATCCCATTCTGTGGGCTCCACCCTCGTGGCCTAATCCCTTCCCAGAGGTGTCCCTTCTCCATACCATCTCAGTGGGGATTAGGATTTCGACATGTGAATTTCGAGGGCAGTGAACATTCTGCCTGTTGTTGTCTTTGTGAAGCCTGTTTCCTCCAAGTCCTCAGGGAGAGTGTTTCCTGCAGGCGAGGCTCTCCTACAGAATGGCTTTTTCCCTTGTGCTGTCATAACTTTGGAATTTTACGATTTTTCTCCAGTCGTGACACTCTGTGTTCTCTGGCCGGCTGCCTCAGCCTTACACGTGCTGTGGGTGTGGTGGGTGAGGTGGCTCTTGCCTTCGCGCGGCCACCTCCTCTGGGTCTGCAGCCAGACATCTGCAGCGAGCCTGGACCACGACGTTGCAGAACATGAGTTGGTTGCTGAGCCAAGGACAGAGAGCACAGCGGGGAACTGGGGCACCTCTCTCTGTGCCTGTCAGCCATCATATATGATCTGGCTGAATGTGACAGCTTCTGCTTCACCTTGGCTTGCCACAGCCCCTGCAAGTTCCTCTTTTGGTGGCATTTTTTTTCTGGAACCCTACATATAGTGAAGGAGATTCTGGGAAATCGAGTTCCAGCTTACCTAAGCTGACAAAGCAGAATAAAACACATCATTGTGCTCCTTGAAGGTTTTTCTGTGGGTAAATAATCAGAGGGCCACTTTCCGAGCATGACATGGGAGCAAGGGTGGTTGGTTGGGTGATTTGAAGGTACCTTCTTCAGCTAAGATGCTTGATGCTTGACAGATGCATCCCGCCATCCCCGCCCCTCATGTGGCTAGCTCTGGGAGTGGGACCATTGGCTAGAATACTCTTTTCCCTGAACAGTGTTGGAACGAGCACAGGAATGCCTGCTTCCCCTCCTGAGAGTTAGTGAGAAAACTAGCTGGGTTCTCTGAGTTCTGAGCAGATATTTTATGGAGTGACCCATATGTGCATTTTTCTTTGAAGGTATATGCCAGCTCTCATGCCAGGTCATGAGCTCTGATTTCAATTTAGTAGAATAAAGAAACCCTTGCCAAATGGATAATAGCTCAGTGTTACAGTTATGCATATAATATTCACAAAGCTGACCTCTTCTGTATTCTCACTGCTTCTGGGAGAGGTGTAGAAGCGGCAGCTTCAGTCTTCGTGTTGGGTGGGAATAAACCCCTGTAGATCTTGAAGCCAGGTGCCATTGTACAGAACATGCTAAGAGACTGCTGGCATAATACTAGAGGCCTCAATCAATTAGAGTGGCTTCAAGGATGTCCCTTGGTGGGCTCAGCGTGTGCCTTCCCTGTGAGGCTTGTGTTGATTTCCACTGGTATAGAAATGATATGACTAAAGTCCCTTTGCCTGATGCCAGATGGTACCTTGTCCCTGCTCCCCTGCTCCTATAGCACAGGCCTGAACTACAGGTGGAGAGAGTTCTACACTGGACTCTGCTCTCCTGTTGATTATTATCCTAGACAGGATGTTTAAATTATTCAAATATGAGTGCTTTTGAAAACCAAAGTCACTGGAAGGCTTATGATCCTGGAATACCTTGAAAAGTTATGGAACCAATCTGAGTCTCCTCTCCCAAGGGTAGAGAAAGAGCCTCTTAGTGAGGCCTGTTCATGGAGAGTGGTCAGGAAGAACAAAATTCTTCTCTGTTTCCCTCCTCTAGAATCTGCTTAGCAAATAAAACAGTTCTTTATCTATAGTGCTTTGCCCACTTAGCAAAAGGTGGTGGGGGGACACTGCATCTGGATGACCACCTCCCAGGAACGTGATTTGGACTTTCCAAGGATTCATGTCTCACTTTAAAGTGTAAAGGACAACATTTGAGTACCTCCGAAGGAACTCCTGAGTTTTAAATTAGACTATGCTGGATACTAAGTAGGTATTCAATAAAATGAGGAAGCTGAGAAGCAACCTCATCTCCTTGCATGGGCAAAGGGGCTCCCCAACTTACATAGAATGACTTCCTGAGCTGAGCACCAAAACCGGGCAGAACACTGACCAGCAGTGCCTGCCGCCTTGACTAGACGGCAATGGGCAGCTCAGGAGTCCATGAGAACCAGCACCGTGTGCCTGTGGCTTGCTTGCTGTGCTTTCTCATCCGGGTCTTCATTTACATGGAGACGGTAAGAGCTTTGGGAAGACGATGGGAAGTGAGCTCCTTAGAGGATTCATTCCTACCACCTTTCGTGACAGTTCCACCTGGCCCAAGGCAGAAAGCCTGGCTCATTGGGCAGGGTGGGCAGGAGGGCTGAGACATGGCACCTCCAAAGAGCCAGGCTTGCATTGGTTGGATGCTTTGGGTGGGGTAGCAATGAGTGTGCAGTGACTTCCGACTCTAGTTCTGTGCAGTGTGATTTCAAACTTTCCTGTGTCTCACTTTCCCTACCAGGTGGGGCTACAGCGACAACGAATTGAGACAGAGCCTGTGACATGCACTCAATCATGGCCCTTCTCCTTCTCCATCGTCACTAATTTGCCTTCTAAAGTTTCTGAGGAGCTTGCCTTTATCTTCCAGAACCATAGCTGTCCTCCACTGTTCCTCTGCTCCCTTTCTTCTAACTGCCTCTCCCTTATCTTGATATCCATGCCTGGCCTGTTGGGGGACCTCGGCACCATCAACGGTTGGTCTCCTTTGTCTCCTCTCTCTCCTCTCCCCTCCCCTCACCTCCTCTCCTCTCTTCTCTTTCCTTGTGACCCTCCCTCAGCATCATACCATCCTTCCCTCCTCCCTGTCTTCCTACCACTTTCTTTTTGGTCCCTCTTTCCACCCCTCCTCCTCCTTCTCTACCTCTTCTTTTCTCTGCCTCCACGTGACTCTGCACATTTTGACAGAGGTGCTCTGCACAGACACCCTCCCTCCATGCTGGCCCCAGTGGGACACCAGGCCCATTGCCAGGAGGAGAGTCAATAATGAAGACAGTGAGGGGAGGGGGAGCCAGGCTGAGCGGCTGCTGACCCTCTAGAGAGCAGCAGAATCACCTTGGGATGCATGACTTTGAATTCTTCCATGTGCCCATTTTTATCAGAGCATGACCTGCCTATTGCAGAGATGACTTCTGTCTCGGGCACTCATTTAATTGACACACAAACAAAAATAAAATACTAATCCTAAAACCAAAAACAAAGACAGAGCTTCAACATCTTCATCCCTCAGGCTAGGAAACAATGATCCTCGCATTTTGGCTTCTCTCTCTCTCTCTTTCCTGCCCCCTGGGTTTAGCTGATGTTTTCTTGGAAGAGGGAATGGCCCTCCGTTGAATATGAGCCAGGAGACAGGTCATTTGGGAAAGCTGGTGACCAGGACTATGGCTTCCATGTCTGCTTCTCTTTGTGCAGTAAATATTGATTGCAAATATTGATTGCAATTCACATAAACCTGTGTGTGTAGATCCAGAGATAAGAGAGGTCTCCCTGCTGCCTCTCTGGCAAGGTGAGTCGGGTGTTGTAAGGATTAAAAGTGATGACAGATGATGAAAGTTTGGCATGTTACCTGGCACAGAGGAGAGCTTCAGAGATGCTGGTTTCCTTTCCCTTAAATTGTAGAAATAACGAGGAATCACAACCCAGGAGCTCACGGCATCTTCAAGGTGGGATGGGTCTCTCCACGCAGAAGCCACGTCTCGTGGGGCGGCCAACCTGTGAGTGAATCATGTCGTCAGTGACTTGACTTGCCGATTCCTCACTTTCTTGTCATCTGAAAGGCAGCATAATGCAATGGAAATATTAGAGAGTCCGAATTGCAAGGGGGGAGATCTGCATGTGATGCTGGTGAAGTCATTTTTCTGTGTCTCGGGTTTTTTTTTCTTCAATACCACGGGGATGTCAATGAGGTAAGCCAACTGCTGAGTATCACACTTGGTCTGTCATATGTTACTAATTTTTTGGCCTTCCTGATCATGCTGTGGTGGGTATGGATGATTTTTGCTCGGATCACTTAAAAATGTGGCTTGGCTGTCTGTATAGGTGACCACTTACAGGAAGTCTGCATTGGGAAATGGGCATGGGACATCATTGGATTCCCCGACTAACACAAGTTATCTTTACTGGAGGTGGGGATGGGGAACTGGGAATTGAACCCAGGAGCATTCTACCTCTGAGCTACCTTCCCAGTCCTTTTCATTTTTAATTTTTTGAGTTGCCCAGACTGGCTTTGTATGGACCATCTTCCTGCCTTGGCCTCCTGAGTATCTGGGATTACAGGAATATGCCACTGAACCCAGAAACAAGTTATCTTTGAACTCTTTGGTGGAGATCCCTTTTGCTAGATTCAAATCTGTCCATCTCGGAATGTAATATTCCAAGCACAGTCGCATCCGCCATTCCCTTTTTCCTTCGTGAAGCAGCTGGGGTGGGCTGGGGAAATCACCAGTGTCCATATGACCATCAGGATTCCAAGGCAAGCTGCTGCGTCCTGCAATATAATCAGCAGGCAGTAGAAAAACCACAGCCATAGATCAAACAAAAAAGCAGCCACCGACAATAGGATCATTCTTTTCCAAAATTTCCTTTACACTCCTAGACTTATTTGGCACCTATGCATGTGTATAGGACATAGCAGCTGCCTTAGGTTTAGGAAAGAAAAGGTCTTAGGGAAATGCAGCTTTGAGAACATTCTACCCACTGAGTTTACTTCTTCTGTAGTTGAAGGGGAAAAAATGTCAGAGATTTAGCCACAGTACCTGAATATCTTCATTCTCTAGATGTAATACCAGTTCTTTGGAAAAATAAATATAAGTTGACCACGGTGGGAAAATTTGCACCACGGAAATGGGCAAACACTACATGATGATGACTTTTTTTTTTCCTTGAGAGCCACCAGTTGATAGTTAATTCATGTGTCATTTCAATTTTAGTTTTGCAGTTGTTCTTAGATTCTAGGAATTCAGTTTTTCATCAAATGGATTTTGAAGAGCCAAATTTGAAAAGGTATAGGAAAGTTATAACAGAGAGGATGCTACTCTCAGATGTGGCCTTGGTAGAGAGGAACAAGTACAGACTTGGGTATGAGACACATCTTGTTTCAAATATTGGTTCCACAAAGCTGTTATCCTTGTTATCTGAGTCAAGTTACCAAACTTCTCCAAATCTCAGTTTCTTTAACTGGAAATGAGCAAATCAGACCTACCTCAAAGGATGATTGGGCAGATAAAATACTATAGTGATATAAATGACAGATAAGGTATAAAACCAACAAATATAAGTTATGATAAGTATAAATCCCTGAGGTGGTTGACAATACACTCCAGCTAAATAAATGGATCTATTATGTTTTACCACACCCCAAAAGTAGGATTAGTCCTACTTTATATTTGGGCTACATTTTGTAATATTGAGAGAAGCAGAGATTAAAGCAGCCAGTAAGAATAAGACATCTAATTCCTACTCTCTTGCTCTAAATTCTCAGGGATGTTTATATACTAAGAATCAAGGTGCAGGCCTACTTTCATCAAGACCCTGGACACTCTTTGAATTCTTTTTCTGTGTTTCACAAGCAGATGTTTATTCAACGAGTATTTATTGAGCTGCTACCTTGCTGTTTCTCACTATGATCCTTTTCATTCCCATAGTTTGTAAGAGTTTACAGAGCCAATGGACACCATGATTTTATGAAAACTTCAAACAGTGAAGGGAATTAGATATTATAATTCACATTTTAGAAATGAGGAAACTGGGGCTCAGAGAAGAGATGCGACTTTTCCAAGGCAGCCCAGCTGGTAAAGGGCTGTGGTAGCAATCATTCCTCTGCATTTAATAACAAGTTCGCCTGTTTATCTTGTAAAAGAAAAGTCACTTGATTGGCTAGCCCAACCGTATTAATTAATTTGTAATGAGGCTCAACATCCACACAGTATAGTTGCTGCTCACAAAGGGACTTCGCAATATGATTGTCTCTGTATTATCTGAAGTTTTTTCAGTGGGGACCAAACCCAGGTCCTCGTGCATGCTAGGCAGGAACACTACACTGAGTCACGCGCCCATTCTCTTGTTCTATCTTAATTGAACCTCACAAGGACCTATAAAGTATAAGAAGGAAACACATTGCTAAGAAGTTAAGAAAAGACACTAATTAAACATATTATGATGTGTACCTAGCCTCCGTCCTATAAACTAAACTTGATTTTGAGGAGCAAAGTGGATTTTGAGGCAAAGCTCATGTGGTGATGTTTCAGAAGAAAAAAAAAGAGAGAAAACAGGGAAATAAGACTGAGGAAGAGGAAAAGCAAATATAAGATGGACTTTTACTTGCTGTCCATAGTTTCTTAAGAAAGTAAAAAATAAGCTGCCTGGTCACATGGGAAATCTCAGAAAGACTTAAGGAACCACTGTGACTTGGTTCATTTTCTTCCCTCTTATGAATGATGGACAAAATCCATCTCAAGTGCATTCTCCAAATTTCAGGTTGAGTTATTCAGCTCCTCTCCAGGCAGCCACTGGGGGAGGTCAGAGACTTCTCAGGTGGCCTAGCTGGTCCTGGACACTGAGCCTTAGCAGCTCTTACTAAGCAGGCGCAAGATCAGTCATGCCAAGGTCTGGCCCTTGCTGTAGAGTGCACACCTCAACGGCTGGCAATGGTGGCAGCCAGAGCACCTTTGTGACCACGAATAGGGTGTGAGCCTTAGCTGGACATGAGCATGGATGAGCAGATCTGGGATGAGCCATAGAATAAGTTGAAAACACACAAACTGTCTCATTCCATCTGTACCCTCCTCCTGAGCGATAAACATTCCTCTTCTTCTCATTTTTTTTTTCACAAGGGATTCATGGCAGGTGAAAGTTGAGAAGGGGATGAAGTTCTTACGTGTCTGCTGACTCTGTGCTCTTTCCATTTTAATTTAGTAAAGTTATTGGTTATATCTTATTACTTTTATTATTTTTTTTTACAAAAGAAAATATGGGAATTGAGCAAATTTATTTAATTCATATGCCAAACAATCAAAAAATAAGGTGATTCCATCACAAAAGTTGGTCTAAGCAGAGAGAGAATCTGAGATTCCAGCTTTCTCCCGAGTCTCTGTGGGAGTCAGGTCCCAGGTGTGGCCTTGGCTGAAGGGGCCCTGTGTGCCTTCACCACCAGCACTGGGGACCTGGGCTGCTCCTGGGGTTGTCCTCATTCTTCGCCCTTCCTGAGCTGCGCCTGTCCTTGCTCCCTCTCTGGAATGTCCATGTCCTCCCCCTGGGATCCTGCCTGCCACACACCTCTCAGATTCCAGAATTATCACTGAAGAATACAAATTATACTTTTGAAGAAAAAAATCTTCCCACTTTTCCAAAAATAAAGTTGGAAGCCATCGAGCCTGGCGTTCAAGGCCCTCCCTGATAGAGCTCCTGCTTACCCTTCTCTGCTCATTTCAGAATCTTTCCACTCTGCACTTCCACTTGAAAGCAGAGGCAGAAAACCTCGCATACTTTCATGCCCCTGTGCCTCTTTTCATGATGTTTCTTCAGGTTGAAATACCTTTTGCCTTTGTCCTTTGAAAAAGTCTGTTGATTCACCAAATCCTTCCTCAAAGGCTTCCTGTTCTGTAAAGCCATCTCTAGCTCCCCTGCTCAATCCAAACAAAAGGTTCAGGTATTTGTACTTTCCTAGGGCTTTAGTAATACCCCTCTTGGCATCAACGGTCACATAATCTCACCTACGTGTTTGTTCACTGTAGGTGTCCTTTTCCAACTCTACTCCGTGCAGGGACGACGATTTATTCCACTCAGTGCCTGTGGCATTTAGGACAGAACCTGGGTCCATGAGGCCTCACTACCTGTTGCTGTGATTTAAGTGTCTAGATTCATCCTTGAGTGGCCAAGACAGATCTTCAAAATGAAAAGCAGATGCCCGTGAATGGCCACTGCCTTGCATTTTGGATCCTGGGACTCAGTACACATCTGAAAGATAGACCTCTGTAATGGTGACTCCAGTATCTCCCTATCATTTGATGTGTTTTACACCCCACAGGCCCTAGATCCACTGCAGATATAATTTTGTATATCAGGTGGTCACTTTTCAACCCTGAAATGACATAGAAGTTTCTTCAATATTTGACTTAATTTGTAAAGGGTAAAAATTCATGAGGTCAGGCCAAAACCACAACACAACAAAAAACTACTCAGGAGAATAAACTGAACAATCTCAAAACTTAAATAAGATTGAAAGACATTTTACTTCTATCAGTCACAAGGGAGAGATCTTGTTGAACACCTGGGGATTCAATAGAGACCCCAGAAAAGTCACTTCTTAGCAACAGGCACAGTGGACAGGAATGAAGCAATGGAAATAAGCCACTGTGTGTTTGTTACATTAAACATGACATAAAATAATATTTTTTTCAAATATACACTGTAACTTTTTAAGGTAAAGACTTATATTCTAGGGACTGGGTATGTGGTTCAGTGGTAAAATACTTACCTAGCATGAGCAAAACCCTGGCTCCTATTATCAGAACTACAAAAACAAGGAACAAACCAACCACCACCACCAAAAACAACATCAAAAAACCTATATTTTAGAAGAACTATTAAAATTTAAGCAAGTGAAACAGAAAAATGTTAACACTAAAGAATACTAAATTACCCACTTCCCACCTCCCCCCCCCCAAAAAAAAAAGGCAGAGAAAAGAGAAATAAGGGACAGGAATCAGACAGGACACATACAAATAAATAACAAGATGATGTATATAAACCCAAGCATATTGATAATTGAAT